GCTCGGTTTTTTCTTTCGACCGGTGATCGCCAATCGTTTCGTTTCGGCAATGAAAAACTTGAACACGGAGAATTTTAACTTAACTACTTCATTCAATCACGTCCTCATCTAATTTATCTAAATATTCAGTGGGGGTACCCCCCACTTTACTGGGGAGCCGTTTCAGACACAAGAAACAACACACAGAAAAGAAAACCTTCTCTATCAATCATACCAACGTTAGCTCAACCAATGAAAATCGACTTCCTTATTATGTCTTACATCTGACCGCGAAAGTCAACCCCCGGTAGTCGGAGCTGAGATACACTTCCTTTAAACATAATAGCCTGCTAAACTATTATTTAAAAAGATAAGGATTGAACATACTGTTATGGTCCGGTTCCTTGTACCACGGTGATAGTCCAAGGTAGAACCAATAAAGAAGAGCTCGAACACGGATATGGAATAACACAGGAAACATTACAAACAGGAATATATACAGAGAAGTAGAAAGTGTTAGTACGAACAATCAGGTTTAGTAGTAATTGTCTGAACGCGACTCTGTTTCGGACTGCTTCTGACTCGACTGACTGACTCAGTCGCTCTGCGTGACTGACAGACTTCTGACGAACCTCACTCCAGACTTCAGACTGAACTCGGACTTCAGACGGAACTCCAGACTTCAGACGGAACGGTATTTAGTCACCCACCCCACGAGGACATCATGTGGCACAAGGCCGGTTTAACGTGGGATCTCCGAGCCCGTGGGCTCGGCCAAAAATATACCCTTTGAACCCGTATAAACGGGTTCAGGGTCGGTTTACCTCCCCGAAAGAGACTCTGCCCTTCGGTGTAGCCTCGTTCGGGTTCCTTCCCGCCCGAAGGCAGTGAGTTCAACCGATCAGCCAGTCGTCCGACTTCAGACTGAACTCTCTGCTTCCTCTTGAGGCGCCGTATTTATTACGTATGGCATAGTCCATTATGTTATTATGGGTAAGGTCCCATAACACATACTGAAGGCAAGAGAGAGACTTGAGGTCGCATCACGTTGCAACACAGGTTCCCGTACGATCAGCGAAGTTGAGCAACGCTGAGCCTGGTCGGTACAAAGACGGGTGACCGCTTGGGAAGACTGGCTGAAAAATTTGAATTTGAAAAAATTGGTTCACGTACGATCACTGAAGGAAAGCAAGGTTGAACCTGGTTAGTACCTAGTTGAACCTGGTTAGTACCTAGTAGAATTAACGCCTGGTTGCTGAATTATTTTCCACTCTAAAGACTTGCAACTTCTTGTAAGAAAAAGGTTCTGGAGTGGAAAAATAATTCACTAACCACAAAACCGCATAGTCATTGCTGAACTAAACAAAGGTTATAGATAATGCAATACAATGGCTACCTATTCACTTCTTCGGGGTCTTTCTTCTAGGGTAACCAGTTAAACCTTGTGGCAGAGGTCTGTATAGGTACGTTTCTTTAACATCCACAGAACTATTTCTGGGAAAGAATCTATAATCTGGGGTGATCAGCAATTGAACAAAGCTAGTACATGCACACCTTCAGTCAGAATAACTTGTGATAGCTACAATCATCTAAATTCATCTGCCAAATTTCTCGCACAGAATTTGGGTTGACAAATAGTATAAATTTCCAAACTTCTCCCTCAAAGACTCTATGAACCAATAGTATGTTTTCCAATTTCTCTGACAAGGTTTAGATTAACCTGTAATATAAATATCCAATTTCTCTCTCAAGGATTGGGTCAAACAGCAGCGTCACTTTACAATTTCACTGAAAGCGTTAGTGTTAAGCAGTAGTATGGCTTTCCATTTTTTCTCACACAGATCGAGTTAACCATTAATATGGTTTTCCAATTTCTATGACAAGGATGGGGTTAACCAGTCATATAAATTTTCAAATATTCTTTAGAGGATTGGATTAACCAATAGTATGATTTTCTAAATTCTCTCACAAGTATTGGGTTAATCAGTAGTATGGTTTTCCAATTTCTATGACAAGGATGGGGTTAACCAGTCATATAAATCTTCAAATACTCTTTAGAGGATTGGGTTAGCCAATAGTATGATTTTCTAGTTTCTCTCACAAGTATTGGGTTAATCAGTAGTATGAATTTCCAATTTATCTCTCAAGCATTTGCTTAACCAATAACATGGTTTTGTAATTTCTCTCACAAAGATTCGGTTAAACAGTGACTGACTTTACAATTTCACTCGATGTGAGGGTTAATCAGAAGTATGCATATCCATTTACTCTCACAGTTTAAAGAACGGTATAGTTTTCCAATTTCTCATATAACACTGCGTCAGCTGTTTTTCAATTTGGTCACAGTGATTGACTTAACAAGTAAGCATGTATTTTCAATTTTTCTGACAAGGATTGGTTCAAACAGCAGTGCCACTTTCCAATTTCACTGAAGTTAATGTTAAACAGAAGTGTGGCTTTCTAATTTTTCTCACACAGATTTAACCATTAACATGGTTTTCCAATTTCTCACAAAATTACTAGATCAACCAGTAGCTTTTTATTTATTTATTTTTTCAGTTCCCCCTCCCCCACAAGGACTGGGTTAACCAGTAATATGATCTTTCTCACGCGATAACTGCTTTTCCAGTTTCTATCATAAGAATTGGGTCAATCAGTAGCATGTTTTCTTCATTTTCTCTCACACGGGTTTGGTTTAAACAGTGGCATAATTTTTCTAGTTTCACTCACAAAGATTGGGTTAACCTGTAGCTTGATTCTCCAGTTTTTCTTACAAGGATTGTGTCAACCAGTAGCATGGTTTTCAGACCCTTCCCAACATTACTGCACGCTTCAAAATCCCCGCAGATTTATTGATTGATTTGTTTTTCACGGGTTATCAACCCTTTAAACGTATTTCGGATTTTAGTGGGTCGGTTACAGTACCCAGTGTCCCAAATCGTACCCTCATACCCATTTCATTACTAACCGAATATTGTTACTTATGGATGCGTATTAAATATGACCCATCTTAGATATTTTAGACACTATTCAATATTTCATCTATTTTAGAGAAATGCTGCAATTCTCTACGTTTGCAAGAGTAGCCGAAAACGGAGTACTGCTGAC